ATTTTATGTGATAATACTATCTCTTTAATTCTATAAACAGACATAATTTCTTGTTCAGTTACAAAGTTCCACTGTTCAAGTTCCGTTAATTGCTGTGCCGAAAATACCGACTAACTTGTCAATTGAAATTTTTTCATTTTCACTAACTTCTCTGTCACATTCTTCATGTCTTTATCCATTTTTTGCAGCAATTCCACTTTTTGTTTGATGGACATCGAAACATACTTTCGTTTTGTACGATCCTTTGGGAGCTCCAGATTCGGAAATTCTATTTGACATAATCGAAAGTTCAAGTTTACTTTTATAGTATTGCTCTTACAGTCTGCAAAAAATAATAAGCCGGATCCAATTCGAAAATTAAGGAACAACGCAATCATCAACATTAACTGAAATAGATAATTAAATAATTTTAGCTTATACCGTTCGTTATACATAAAACGCGCATGCGTAAACATATTCTGCGCTTGCGCAGTTGTAAGAGGTCTTACGCGCACGCGTAAACGCCTAGGCGCATGTGTCAACGCGGCGCATGCACAGAAAGTTTTTAGCTTTGAGGTCCGGATTATAGATCATTCCGGATTATGGGTGTCCGAATTAACGACTTTTGACTGTATAATTTTTATTTTTAGTAACTTCCACAATTTGCTCCACTGTTTAGAATTTGCATTAACAGGGTTTGTACACATTTCTGTACATGAAAATTAAGTACTTTTAAGGACTATTAATGAAAAAAATAAAGGACCTATGAGCAAATAACAAATTAATAAATTTAATTAAAAAATACTATTTCTGCCTGAACTTCACTTTTGTAATACCATCCAAAAAAAAAAAAAAAAAAATAAAAAAAAAAAAAAATAGATTCGTAATTAGGATGCATTATGATTACACATAATTATTAATAAGTTTGAGAATAAAATATACTTTATGCAATTTATCAAATAGCATTAAATATAATACACTTATAATAGCTCAGCATTTTTGAGAGAAGATAAGTGACATTTTATTTACGTTTTACTAATAGTTAGTTTCATGTTGTTGTTTTTTGCATCTCATTTTGTCACATACTTGCTCAATCTAGAGGTTTAGTAAATATAAGGTAGATTTTATGTCAAGCGGCATTGGTTAAAATGAGAAGTGAAATCATAATCAGAATGATTTATAACAAAAGAATGGCTGTTGTCTGCCTAGAGAGATAGACCTGATGATCAGAACAAAACTGAAAGGCCTGATGTGGGCCCGGTTGGCAAGTTTTGAAAGTTAGTTGGGCTCTGTCTGATGCAGTTAGTGTCATAGCTTCGTGTAGAGTTCCAAGGGTTGTAACTAAGCATTTCCACCTCTTGACTGTCAAAATCCAGGAGAAGAAAAATTGGCCTCCTGAATCTCATTTACAAGTATTTCTTGAGCTGCAGAAGCAAGCAACTCTCGCAAATACTTGTACATTTCGTTCTACCACAAGAAATCATTTTCAAGAAGAATCTAGAAATAGAGTGCTATAACAATTTGTTTGTGCAATCCTGGCTATTATAAGTGTGATAGTGCTTAATGCCATGATAGACTGAAGTAATTTCAATTGCTGATATATTGTCCATTTCTTTATGAAAAAGTTCAAAATCGATTGCGAAGAATCCCTATTCAATATTAACGATTGGTGTTTCTTGCTTTGGTAATGTACAGTTAGGTTAGAGTCACTACTCTAATACCCTCATACTTAATATTAACAGTTTGCTGCCATAATTTACATTCTCCATTAAAGTTGTCTCTCTCATAAGCCAATCAAATTAAGTTAACCACTTGTCTTGAAACGACGTCGAATATTTTGTCTTTTTTTGTGGCACTTGTTCAATAATAAAATTTCACAGTTTAAAATACATGCTATTTATGCCATTGATTCGTAAACGATATTAGGTAATCATACATTAAAAGCTACAAAACATTATGTTTTGTGTTTACTGGTTTGCATATTTATTTTTGTAGCAACAACACTCAACAAAATATTTATGTGCCTTTTTAATCTGAAGCGTGCCCAGACATTTTGGCTAATTTATATCGATTTCCATCTCTTTAAGCATCTTTCTAAGAATTAAAAATTTCTTTCAATATGCAAACCAGTGTTCTGACTAGTTTCTATGTGCTGTATCTCCTAACTTGTCAATCTCTCCATAATGTACTTATGAGGGTTTACTTGATCTGGTAAAAGTTAAATAGTCCAAACCCCTCCCGACAGCCGTGAAACAAATTATCGCTATGTCTGAAAGTAATTACAAAGTTAGACAAAGGTGTAAATAAGACTCTTATTTAAAAAGCACTTAAAGGCATGTTCTTACGCTAACCAAATCAATTGCAGTTTGTGGTGATGTAATTAAACAAGAACAGCCAAATTCAAACAAAAAAAGGTGGACTAGTGGTCAAAGACTACAATTTAATTTTAACTCAAGCTGGCTCAGTAACTCTATCGTCATAACTAATTCAAATGCCGGCAGCAATAATGAATAAAAAATGTTATAAATTATTAGAGCTGGCAGGAACTAATGCAGTGAGCAAGCGGAGATTGAAAACACATTCTGTCTTACACACAAATAAGCTCAGTTTTAATACTATCTAAGTGATTTGCATTCTGGGGAGGAAATAGAAACGGGAAATTATAGTAAAGGCTGAAATTATATATGGTAATTTACATAATGATAACTGTATATATATTTGAAGAATAATTTTCTTTCTTTGTATGTAATTGGTTTCTTTCTTCATGCTTCCTTTTCATTTTAGACTTTTTGAATTTAATTAAAGATTTATGTTATTCTTAAAAAAAAAAAAAAAAAAAAAAAAAAAAAAACCTAAATGCATTTAGAATGCATATAAAAAGCTGCTAATTTTATTTCTTTAGCAGTACAAACATTCAGAAGAAACACGAAACATATATGGTAAGGGCCAGTTACAGAGCTGGTGTGGTAGTATGTTTAGAATTTAGAGCATGCACTGGAAGCAGAATTTAAAAGGGCACTAGTGAGCAAAATTTAGGATCTACAGATATAAATTTAATATTCCATGTGATTTCACCAGGTGGGAAAATGCCTAGCGTCAGACCTGTGTATGATGCATTAAGACATATTAGATGAATCTTTTAAATTGCCACTTTCCAATTTCTTTTTAATAAAAAATTTCCTTTCTATAATGCCTGTCCATGTGATACGATTAGAAGCATTTTTAATATTTCCCATGCTTCTGTCTAGTGAAAAGTAGAGAAAATAAAGGAAAGATAAGCATGTTAAAAAATAGACTCTAGTTTCAGAAGTAAAACGTTCAAATATTAAGTTTTCATTGTTCTTCCAGATATTCTCCAAAAAGTAAGAAATTCATTTCAAATTTTCTGTAAAATACATCCATTATGTATTAATACCATACAGACATTTTCATTTTGTCACATTTTTTTGGAATCATCTAGAATCGTGGGTCTATAAATCTTGACTTAAAAATCTTTCTAAACTTTCCAAGATGCATCCTTCTTCAAGTTATAATGTCTAATGTCCCAAAGAAAAATTACCCCTACCAATTTTGTAACAGCAAACAGCCAGAAATATTTTTGGGAAAAAAAAAAAAATCAGATTTTAAAAGCGTAAAATTAATTTTATAGAGAAAAACTGATGCATATTCTGAGACAACTACATGAGAAAATTTTTATCATGAAAAAATTAAAAAGAAGATATTTTTAATTAATTACACAGCTATTTTGCTTTTGCTAAGAAGTGTTTTGTAAATTCTGCATTATACCTTGTTTATTTTTCAGATGCAAAATATTGTATAAGTGGCCAAAATAGAACTTTATAATATGAAAGCAAAAAATAAAAATGTTATATTGTAATGTTATTTTTAAAATATAATTTCAACATATTACCATTATTTAAAGGAAACATATCAATGTTACAACGTTTAAAAAAAATCGTCGAAAAATTGCCAGATCTTGGAATTAAAAATTTACTATAGAAACTGAAAAGAGCCGTCCCATCCCCACAAGCGAGAAATTATTTAGGATCTCTTCATTAGAAAAAGTGAAACAATTTCGAAATGATTATGTTTCACTTCTTGCTTAGAAACTCGAGTATCCCACCATTTATATTAGAAATAGGAACACATTATAACCCATCCAAAAGATAACCATATTTATCAGTGAATCACCAAAAATATACCTCCAAAACGGCAATTTACACTCAAAATTTCAGTCAGACAGAAATCTCACATGATTAAAATTAAGGACCTTCTCCCGATTTTGGTGAAATTAAGGACTTTTAAGGACCAAAAATCAATTCCAAAAAACTTAAGGACTCTTAAGGCTCGTATGAACCCTGATTAATGCAGAAATTGATTTACAGTGATTTTGGTCATCATCAATAATATTAAAAATTAAACTAGGCAGCACAAACAGCCCATTGAGAGCCATGGGCTGCAATGCCCTAACATCTGCTTTCCAGACCGTGTGCCTGGGGTGCACAAGCATATTGCCTGGACAAGTGGTCAGCTTGTCGCAGGACCCCCCAGTGTTTAGTCCCCAAGCGAACTTGATACTCATTCTATCAACCCTCTCAAGGGAGTCAGCCTGGGGATGGAATTCTAGACCTGCTGCGCGATGTGCTAGCCACTGCACCACCGAGCCTATCAATAATATTATAACATTTAATTCATTTTCAGCAGAGAAAAAATGAAAAGTATGCATTTTCTTTCTTTCTTTTGGGAAATAATAAATAATCTTAGATGCAGCATAAATACATTTATTTCCTCATAATGATGGTAAAATTAAACAATAAGCATTATCTTTGAATATGCAGAAAAATATAAAATAATGTAGCAAAACTTTCCATGAACTATTTCTGAGAGCGATTAGTGTTTCTAAAAATCAAAACAATCACCAATGTCATCAATAGTCATATTTTTTTAAGGTGACTATCGTCACAAAGCTGTCTGGAGCTGCGATGTGATTTCACCGCAAAAATGATAATCAAAATCTGCTAGTACTCTTGTCAAAATTACCAGAAGGTATTTTTAAACAGTTTTAAAAGTAAAGCCTTACAATAATATAAAGACAACGAGAAAATATTTTCAAATGAAAAGGATGAAGATATCTCACCTGATTCAAAGGATGGCTTGGAATATTGTGACTGATTTAACTTGATTTTAAATGAACTACCAGGTTGCTTTTCAATACCACCAGTGGATGAATTAACTTTGACCCTTTCACTCTGTACAACGATACCTGGGCTGCTGTGCTTTGGAAGAAATGTAGTAGTACTTGAAGATATCTTTTTCTCTCTTTCCAAACTTTGAATTTTCTTCATAGAACTTTTCACTTCTGTAGCATTTGAAGAAATACTTATTTTAGTGTTAGGCAGCAAAGATCTCTCACAGTTTAAAGCCACTGACTCCTGAGATAAAGTACTGTTATTACAAGCAGCAAATGAAGAACTATTAATCCGAGAATCTGCACTTGATGAATTTGTTTCAGGGTTAATAATTATTGTACGGGTTAATGCATTTCCTGGAAGACATATTGAAATATTTTCAAAATTTTTAGAAGATTTATTAATGGCAGGTTTTTTATACCTCTGAACTAATTTAGAAGATTTAATAACTTGTGGAGATGGACTGCGTAATAAGCTAGTTAACCTCCTTATTTTTAACTTTCTGTTAGAGGATGTACTTTTTTGTTCAGTTTTTGTCTTTGCTTTAAGAGACAAAGGTTTGGTTATATCTTCAGACTTTTGTCTAGCAACTGAATATTCAGTTTCTTTAACACGTGTTAGCTGATTACAAACATTAACTGCATAAGCAGACTGTTGAGAGTTATTTTTTAAATTTTGGCTTGGTAATATTTTATTCTTATCAGAACTCTCAGGATTTTTTTCATTGCATACTGATGATATCGGAGACAGCTCCTGACCAAATGGTAAAATGCCTAGTTGATTACTTTTTAAAGTGTTTCTTTGAACAAATGGAACTTTTTTACATTCATCTGACGCATAATAAGTTTGTAAAGAATCTTTATATTTTGATATCTTTTTCTGTGGAGATTTGTTACAATTTGGTGATCTTTTTTGAGGTGATTCCTTATGTTCTGATATTGTTTGTTGTGGAGATATTTTGTAGTTTAATGATGTTTTTCTTTGACAACTGACATCATTTTTATTTCCTTCATATTTCGATGCAAAGCCAGGAGATAATGCTTTATCAATCAGCGTGTTTTGCATGCTATGCAGAAAATTATCTGCAGCACTCTGAAAATTAAAATTTTTGGCATTTTGTACAACAGATCCCTTTCCAAAACAAGGAGCCATTTTCTCTACTTGATCCATTCTAAAATTTACTCGATAAGTCAGTTCTGGTGAAGAATTTGGATATTTCTGAAAGAGGAAAAAAAAAAAAAAAAAAAAAAAAGATTAATTGAAAAAATACACATTTACATCTATTATATATACATTCAATACTTTTTAAAAAAATCAATAAGAGAAGATTTAATTTAGAAGGAAAAAATATGTCATTTCATACAAGAGTAAAACATAATACTTAAACACAAAAATACTTTTTTATGTTTATTACTTCTTAAAAGACACACTCCAATAAAAACATTTTAATATGTCATTAACAATAAATATTTTGACACATTTGACATATTTTTAATTTTATAAAGCATTATTTCATTATGAAAAAAGCTTATGTATTAAAGTATGCAAAAGGGGGGAAGGGGACATTAAGTGCATAAGCTTTCTAAAATCTTTCTTAACATATATCAAATACATCACAATATTTTTCTCCCTTACTGATAATAAAAACAGAGCAGAAGAAAACAAAAAATGAAAAACAAAGAAGAATAATCACTGTCATGATCTTGATACCTGCGCTTAGTGAAGTGAATGAATGACCTTCTTTTGCACTGTAGTAGTTTAGAATTCTTATGTCTAAATATTCATGATGGGTGAGCCCTTGAGGGTGGAACTGTTTCAATCACTTATAAAAAAATATTTATGATGGGTTCAAAAAGTTAAGAAAACAGGCAATTTTGCATATATAGAAAAAAATGTATAAAATTATAACACGATACACGTACCATTACTGAAATTAAGAAATGAAATCTCAACATCCATGCAAAAAAAACCAAAGCATTTTAAATGTTTATACAGCAACGACATAGCACACCCTTTAAAAAGATCATTAATCTGGATGGAAAGTGAGCAAAATTACGTGGGTGCATTCACTGCCATGCCTGTTTTAATTTCTCCAAGATTTGTAAAGTTGACAACAAAATATGACATTCAGATCATGAAATTCCGAATACAATCATAATAGGAAGCATCCTATTAATATTGTCTGGAATGTCACCTTAAATGTGCTCAGCAGAGAACTTTCCAAATAAATATAATAAATATGCTTATTATATTGCATATTAATGCCTGATAATATTCTGATATTCTATACAATTTCTTAGAATAAAGACAAAGGATGAGCTCGAAAATCTAAAATTTCTTCTCAATGACAGGGTGTTTAAAAAGGTGGGGCAAACTTTAATCCTTTTGGGATGGGCAAGCAGCACACACAGCTCTGTTTACAAATTACTCATCCCATGATTTCTGCTTTGCTTAAAAAAAAAAAAAAAAAAAAAAAAAAAAAAATTACTGCAATGCAATGAAGGTCACTTTCAATAAATTCTGCCATAACAGACATAGTAAATCTAGCTGCAGAAAAAGATACTAATTAAATGTTCTATCTAAAAATTCATTTGTGGTACTTCCCGTCATATGGTGCACTTAAACTGCAATTCATATATTACAAACTTGGTTCTATGATATGCAGATTGATTCTAAATTGTTTTTACAAATTAAGAGGGTGTGATAGTACTTATCCAAATGAGCAATAATTATCATAGAACATAGGGTAGCATTGCACTCTGAGAGGCAGAGAAGAGGAATATTAGAATTCCAACCTGAACTTACAACAGTGTTGGGAGAGCGAATGAACGAGATCAAAAGTTGTGCAACCAGTTTAGTGAAAAACTCACAGAGAGTGCACAAAATGGATAAAACTGAAAATATGGCGTTCGAGTGTTAATTCGAGCTCAAACTTTGGCGGCAAACACTTCAAATGCACATCTTTGATTCGGAAGGTCTCAACCTCGCAACCGGTTGCAAGAAGTTCATTATCTAATATGCATCTGTATTATTCTTTTCTCCAAATTGTACGTCCATCATTCAGCTTTTGGATATCAGAATAGTGAGCGTGCTGTAATGCAAATATAAAGTAGAATTTTTAAAAGCCAAGACTATTCAAGAATTTTCGAAATATTTTTGAATAAAATCTGCTGAGGCTGTGTCTCCAGATGCTTTAACCCTCTAAGCGGCAAGGCCGTATATATACGACCTAGAATATTTTCGTGATATCTGTAAGAACGTATATATACGTGCATATTAAAAAATGTCAAAGAAATTAAGGCAATATATCAAAAGTACACAAATTCAGGTATGTAATACCAGGAGGAGAGTTTCTACATTTAAAAAAAAAAAAAAAAAAAAAATATATATATATATATATTTGTTCTTATAGTAGTTTTGGGAAATCTGTGCTTTCTTAGCGAAAACCCTGGCCACTCAGAGGGTTAAATAACGCTTCGCATAATTTATGGCTAGCTACCATATTTCATGGTGAGGGTGATGAATACGATAACTGCGAATATGAAGGTTTTCGGATACTGAAAATAAAAGGTCAAATTTGCCAATTAACAACTTGCACTACGGCTAAACTTCACGGTTGCGGTGCCGTGCGCTACAATATAACAAGCGGTAAAGTGTCTCATTTACGCCGCTCCTCGTCTGCGAGTGCAATCCAGAGCTGTAACTCGAGAAATAAACAATATTGTTGTTAGGCGACGTGTGCACCATGTTATTTTCATTTTTGCGATAAATGCCTATCTACGTGGTGTTCACGTCGCTCGCGGTTTGAGACAAAAGCATCTCGACCTGCATGGCATGTCTTTTTAGCGCAAGTGGTTAATGGATTTTGTAAAGAAATGTGGAGAAGTGGTAATAAGTGAAGATGATATAAGAGAAGATTTTCATTGCAATGATAATGTCCCAATCATCAATCAATTAGTTGATGGTGAAATCTGTGGCATGGTTCTAAATCCAGAAAATACCGCCACCGATAATGAAGAAAGTTACAGATAGGTTATTGAAAATGAAAAAATTTCAATTGGCAAGTTAGTCAAAATTCTTGACACAGCAATTACAGGACTTGAACATTGGAGACATAATTAAAGAGAAAATATTAGCACATTTACATACACACACAAAAAAAAAAAAAAAAAAAAAAAAGGGAAGCGTACAGTTGAAAGACATGTCTAAAATTTTGTTAGCCTTTAGATCATGAATGCTTCATTATTTCACATTTTTAATTTTATAATTTCTACATGCCATCTTACTAGTTCTAAACTGATGATCTAATATCCGGAATCGCAGAAGTCCTGATGAATCCGGACCTCAGACTTTGTGCTGTATATTTATAAAAGTACTGCATTGCATATCAGTGTCCAGTATTCCTCTGCTGCTACAGTATTAACATTCACAACGAGTTGTATTCTGATAACTACAGATTTTATAGTTTTAATATAACTATTTAATATTATAATTGTATATAAACTGAGAATTCAATTAAATGAAAAATACATAATTACAAATTTAATTTAGCTGCAATGAAATAAAAACGTGTTACTTCCAAATACCCCAGGCAACCACTTTTCAAATATTGTGAAAGCTAATTCATTATATAGTGTTAGAAATAATTGTTATGAGAAATAGATTTTATATATATATATATATATATTTATATACTCACTGTTTTCCAGAAGTTATAAAAGGATTGAGGTTTTATACTCAAACATTTTTCAAATTTGTCTTCGATAATTTCTAATTTTGAATTGAGTTTTTTCAACACAGTACGAATTTTTGCAGCAAGTGAATCAAAATGCATAGAAGGTATTTTTAAGCAATTAATAATGGGACTGTCAGGCGTTTCCTGTAAATAAATATAATAAAAATATAACTTTCAGTTAAGAATTTGACAAATTATCAGTATACTACAATTATTTTAGAAAAGCATAACATAACTGCCAATCTTAAAATAAGAAAAACCAGGATTTTTTGGCACTACACAGCGATAACATTTCAAAAGAATACAGATGGATTTAAATTCACTCTATAATACACAATACAGGTTTATTGAACTATTTAACATTATGGGTTATTGTTTGATATTCTAAATTTTATGTTCATTGGCTGCAGTTCTATTTATCAGAAAACGAAAGGAGCGCTTTCATTATCTATTTTTAAATTGATGAATAGTTTACTAAGCACAATCTTCGGATAATAGTATGCATTATTATGATTGAAAACAATACAGGTGGAACTTTAATAGTGGCAACTATTTATTTACAAGGAATACAAAAGTGATTCATGTCACCATGTTTTACAGTCCTTCAATATAGTCGCCAGCATTGTGTACAACCCGTTTCCAACGATGTGGAAGTCGCAGAATACCTGTAGCAGCGCCTGTTTTGTTAATAGTTTGAATGGACCGGTTTACTGCCGCAAGAATCTCAGGAACAGTTTGGAAGCAAGTGCCACGAAGTGGTTCCTTCACCTTAGGAATTAAGCCATAGTCACATGGGCTTAGATCTGGGGAGTATGGTGGATGGTAAAGCACTTCCCAGCCCCATCGCTTGAACAAATCAGTCACAGCTTGCGCTGCATGCGGCCAAGCATTGTCACGCAAAATGAGAGGAGCGTTCTGCAGAAAGTGTCGCCGTTTTTTTCTCAAAGCTGGTCGGAGATTGTGATCCAAAAATGAGCAGTAATACTGCGCAGTGACGGTCTGCTGTGGGGGAACGGTATGTGTTAGAATGACACCATCACAGTTGAACATGATAATCACCATAACTTTCACATTGCTGGGGTTCTGACGAAATTTCGAATGTCGTGGTGACCTGTGATGACACCATTCGTTTGATTGGCGTTTCAGTTCTGGCTGGTACGATCGCGCCCAAGTCTCATCCATGCCGTAAAAAAGCATCTCCTTTGCGCTCATAGCGCTCCAGGTGGGTTCTGGCAGCATTGTATCGTAGCCATTTCTGCATTTCCGTCAAGTGATGTGGAACCCATCGTGAAGCAATTTTTCTTATGGACAGGCATTCCTTCAGAATGTGCAACACAGTCATATGCGCTAATCCTGTTTGTCCAGCCAGCTGATGAACCGTTTGGCGGCAATCACTGTCCACTAGTGCGTCAACAGCTTGCACGTCTGCATCGCTGACACTCGGACGACCTGGCCGCAGCATGTCTGCCACGTTTTGGCGTCCTCCATAAGTTGCTAAAGCAAAGTTTAAAGAAATTAAACTTAGCAGTAGTAGCAAAAAGCTCCCTGAGATATGTTGTGCAGACATTGAAGACAATAAAGATTTGAACTTAACCAATTTATTAAATATAATAAAGAATAAAAACACAGAAAATAAATGTCAACAATATTAGAGTCTTAGGAAAAATATAATATAACCTTCATTTATCAAATATTTTTATCTGGTCTCCAAAACACTGGCATTCTATACAAACAAAAATGCCCTAAACAGTAATTATGCGGCCTAAAAATAAAGCTGGCTACACATTTAATCAGTCCATAATCAATGGTCAAGAAAAACACCTGAAAATTTAAATGAAGTTCTTGAAAGCACTTAAAACAGGTCTAACCCCGTTTGCACAAGGAGTTGCCGCTCACGTATTTTTAATTGCTGCCTTTATTGAAGAACATGGATGCCGGCCACGGCAGTCACTCATATGGTAGCCTCTGGAACCGAAGAACTTTATTCTGGAACCATCATCTCGCAAACCGGAATCAAGGCATTTTATTCACCGGACTGCATGCATCCTATTGAAGGGGCTGGAAACCGCTCACTCACGTGCCGGGAAAGCAGGAACTAGAAGGGTTGAGCCAGAGCGACGTGAGATACTTATAGCAGAAGTAGGAATGACGTCATCTCACGACAACCAATCAGCTATCGGCACGAATCGGCCTTTCAGATGACGTAACATCATGTTTCGTTTTTGCATCTCAATTAGGTTGAAACAGTCCGTTCTCAATGCAAACAGTGGCAGCAAGAAAAAGAAGTAGAAGTAACTACTATATTACATTAAAATAAGGACTATGAAAGACATATATGATCACAAACTCAATACTTTTACCCAGGGCCCTGGTCTCTCATACAACATTCTACACTATACAATTTTACATTTACCTAATATCCATCATAATATGACTTATAACATATTAGTTTCAAATAAACAAAACTCTTAATTTAAATACATACAAAAACAAATTTCATAGGAAAATTGTTACACAAAATCTTATCAGGTTATGCTTAGTCAGCGGTTTTGTCATGGGATCAGCCAGATTATCTTTACTTGGGACATATTTTAAATCAAAAATTTCCCTGTTCAATAGATCACGAATGAAAAATAGTTTCACATCTATATGTTTTGTCCTTCGAGTTTTCAATGGGTGATTTTGTAAAACATATAGCAGCCATGTTATCAGCAAACAATATTGGCCTCGAAACATAGTTACTTGCAATTCTTAAACTGAATGCATTCATCCAAAATGTTTTTAAACCAAACTAATTCTTTTGCTGATTCAGTCATGGAGATAAATTCAGCCAGCCTCCATAGTAGATAAACTCACTCCCCTTTCTTTAAATGTACGCCAAGATACAGGTGATTCTCCCAACAAAGCTATTTGTCCACCAATAGACACCATATCATCCCTGCTTGAAGCAAAATCCGAATCTGAATATATATTGAGCTTCAGTTCCTTGCATACCAGTTTTGAGTTTGTGCTGTCTGGTATTGGAAACGTACCCTAAACAGTTTAAGTAATCCTTCCCAGTGAAACTTACCAGGATTGCTTTGGAACTGAGAAAATATATTAACAGCATAAGCTATATCCGGACGAGTACGATTGCAAAGAAACGAGACATCCCAAAACATTTCTATAAGGATAATTCATCATTTCAGTCGTTTCTTCTTGTGTACTGGGACTTTGAGACTTTGAGTATTTCACACCTTTAACTATTGGAAGGGAAGTAATTTGTATTTTAAAAGACTTAAATCGATCAACTATGTCTTCTATATATAATTGCTGATGAATTAAAACACTATTTTTCTCATATTCAAACTCCACACCCAGAAGCTTTCTTGTTTTACCTAAAATTTTCAAATCAAAATGTGAACTCAGGACTTTTAATATCCTTTTGGCCTGAACTTCACTTTTCCCAAACACAACTATATCATCATAAACCAACAGAATGACAAAATCTTTAAAACGATAGACACAATTACACCACTCAAACTTGATAAACCCTAGGTTACATAGTGTTCTATCCAACTCATAGTACCATAATCGGCCACTCTGATGCAAACCATACAAGGCTCTATCTAAGCGACACACAAAAGTTTCTTTATCTCGCTCCACAAAACCCTGAGGTTGGGACATGTAAATTTCCTCTGATAAAGGAGCATAGAGATAGGCACTTTTTCACGTCACATTGTATATTTGCCCATCCAAGGTGTGCAACTAAAAGGGAGAAAAAGAGCCTTATTACTGAAAAGTTGACTACAGGAGAGTAGGTTTCATCATAGGTATCGTATTTAATTTGCCGATAACCCTGAGCCACTAAACGAGCTTTAAAACGAACAATGTTTCCAAATTCGTCACGTTTAATGTTGAAAATCCACCTGCAACCTAGTGGAGTCTTGTCTTTAGGAAGTGGAACAAGATGCCATACCTTATGCTTTCGCATGTTGGCCATTTCCTCTTCCATTGCCTCTATCCATTTAAGCTTTTCTGTGGATTTCATTGCCTGGTTATAAGTGTTTGGAATTGAAACCTCTAGTCAGCTATCTCGGGTATACGACGTTGAAGGAGTACCAGTTGGGTCGATTTCACCACTATAAGTATTGCTTCCCTTGAAATCAAACAAGGTAGGATCATACTGAATATTATGTTCAGTGCAATACCTTTCTACATCATTTGGTGATCGTAGTCTTTGATTAGACCCCCCTCTCAAAATAATACACATCCGTACGAGTGCCGTCTGGCCTTGGAACAGGTTTACGAAGCCAAGTTACTTGTCTCAATGTAGATTGAGTGTCAGTGCCAATTGTAAGAAAGGTACATTGGTATCGGTTCTTTCCTCTATTTCAGGAAAATAGCCAACTGGAGTGTCAGTAGATTGGAACTCTACCCTTTCTTCAGATTCCAAATCAGGAAGGGTGCCCAGTGCAGCTCCACTGCCACTTTTCTGCATTCCAATTCGACTCTTTAAAAGTAGCATTTAGGGTTTCTACTACCTTTTGCTCATTTTCCAACCAAATCTTTGTACCCTTTTGTTCGTACACTGTACCCAATCAATCGGCCCTTTGTTGCCTTTGGATCAAGTTTAGAATTTCTTTTAGCCTTTGGAATTCCCACATAGGCAATCGTTCCAAATGCCTTAAGATGACGTACTGATGGTTTCCGCTTAGTGTATAATTCAAATGGGGTTCTATCTTGGCCCTTATGACAAATTCTATTAAATGAATATGCAAAATACATTACTGCATCTGACCAAAATTCGGAACTCATTCCACTATCGTGCAAGATTGCACGTACATTATTGAGAGCTGTCTGATTAAATCTCTCACAAACTCCATTCTGTTCTGGAGTATATACTTCTGTAAATTCGTGCTTTACACCATTTTTATTACAATATGACCTGAATTGATCATTATCATATTCTCGCCCATTGTCAGTCCTAAAGTATTTCAACCTAAGGTTCAAAGATCTTTCCGCACGTGCTATATGCCTTTCAAATACTTCAAACACCTGACTTTTCTCCACAATGGGGTATACTACCACATAACGAGAATATTCGTCAATAAAGGAAACGAAATAACGTTCACCATTCCTACCTGGAATGTTAATAGGTCCCC